TTTTTATTAGAATGAAATTGTGAGTCAGAGGAAATATGAGAGGGACAAGGAAGGTACAGAACAAATTTGTTGAGATTACAAGGAATTCAGAACGTGGAATTTAATTGGTTCCAAAATGTTTGGTTTTTCTATTAAGTTTTGAACCTTAAAATTGTCAAAATTATTCAAAAATTGTCACAATCCTCAACCAACTCTTCAAGATTCGACCATTCATTCTTCATTCTTTCGTCTTATTTACTTATTTCATAAATAAATGAATAAATGTCATCAACCTTTATCCATCATTTTACTTTTGACATTAGGCTTACCTATCAATATAATCAATAAAATTCATAAAAATTTCAAGAAACAAAATTTGATGTTCTTAAATAAAAGTTTTATTGCTTAAAAGTTTCATGAATAGAAAATTGCCGTCTTTTGTTTCATCGTGGGTGTTGGAACTGAGAGGAATAGGGAAGTAAGTTTTTATGAGAGAAAATAAATTGGAAAAAATTATTGAATGATGGTTTTTGAGTATCGGAAATGAAGAATTTGAAATATTGGGGGTAGACGAGGATCAGGGACATTATTTACTACAATTAGATGATTCTAAATTTGGATAAGAGACTTTGGGTCATTAACGCATCATAATGTGTTTTACTAGCAGCTAGGAATGTAAGACACGAGACTAGAATAGCATGTATAAAGACTTAAACTTTTGATGACATTCAGACTACATTAAAAGCCACATTTTATATCTCAAATGATAAACTGCTTATAAATTCTGGATATTTATGGTTTTAAAAACTGAGAATCGAACCTAGTTTTGCTTTGTTAAATTTTGTATCGTTCAGTTCTCAAAGTGATACTCTGAGGCTTTTCTAGCTTTGAACGGACTATTAAGGCAATTGCTAAGAGTATTTCATTACATGATTTGTATGGCAGTGATCTATAATTATACGTTTATGCATTTTTCATCCATATCACATACTGAACCACCCAAAACAAACAAATTTAAAGACAAACCAAGAATATCAATCTTTAAGTCTTCCTAAAACCTCCTTCTAAAAGTGACAAACATTTCAATTTTTGATGAATGGCACTTACATCGTTTTCCAGTTACATATCCTGCAGTAACAAAAGCAGGAGCAAATTTTTTTACAGCATAGGTAGTAAACAAACAAGTCAATAAGTAAAAGAAACAACAATTGGAAGCTTCTCCATTCCTTTTCTTTTTATTTCTTTATTTTGACAATAAATTCACGTCAATTTATTTGTTGAAAATGAAATGGTATGTCATTTGGTTATAGTGAATTTATTCGAGGAGGAAGGAACGGTTTATGGGTGTAGTGACAAATGAAATTTACTTGAAGATTGTTGAAGGGTTGGACGGAACTTGAAGCGCTATTTGTGATAAAAATTCAAAAAAAATTCTTTGCAAAAGTTCGAATCCTTAACTTTCTACCTTAAACAACTCACAACTTTTCAAAACAACAAAGCCTTTCACGAGACCTTTTCATGAATTGAATGATTTGATGGCTCTCTTGATTGTTAAGCTTTTGTTTCTGTTTTTCTTGGAAAAGCGTATTTTTATTAGGGGCCGTTCACTTATGACGTCCAGAGGGGGGGTCAGCAACAAAAGAACAATAGAAATTCCTAGAAATCCATTGTTCTTTTTTGAAAAATGACCGTTAATATCGGACGTCATAAGTGAACGACCCCTTACCACTTTTTCCGTTTATTTAATGAACAACATCGAGGTTAACTTGAGGCATTTATTTTTATTTAATCATGAACAATGTCAAAGTCAAATTCAGTTCAAGCCTATTGCTGACAAATTTTGTTGTTCTAGCTTAATCTTAATTGGTCATGCTTAATGTATGAAGATTATTTTGATGGCTAGTTGTTTGCTGGAAGGACGATACTGTTGACAATTATTTTAGAACATTATATGCATTATAAATGCTGATTCGAAGAAAAAATTGAAGGGTTAATGACCTTCAATTATTTGTGGTCATGCTTACGTTTGTGGACAATGCTTGGTGTTTTAGAGAATCAATGGCTTTAGTAACATTAGAATTTTTGTTTATGAATCAACTGTTTTTTATGGAATAAGCCAATTTCAATAAGCTTACGTAATGCGTAGCCAAATTATGTACGTAAAAATACGTAAACGTAGAAAATTTTCTCACTTCGAAAAGTGTTTTCAAATTAATTCAAAGTTTATGCACATTCAAAGCTACAAAATGATACAAACTTATTCAATAAAGTGGCAACCATAATTTTTAGACCTTGAAACTACATAATAAGTCTTATATTTAATTCAATCAAGATGTTTATGTTATTTTCCTTTGTAAATTCAACATTTTCTATTTTTGACCAGTGATTCTCAAACTTTTTCGTCTCTTTGTACACAAGTTCTTGTTTTTTGACTTTTTTTGTAGTGCACTGCAGTTTTGGAACCACTGTTTTAGGCGTCTGTTAGATAACTTAAAGGTAATTTTTCTTCTTTATCATCTCTTCCATTTAAATCAAATTGAAATCTTGTTTTCACGAGGTTATTGTTGTCTCTTTTTTTTTGTAAGACTTAATTCTTATGTTTTTCTACAAAAAAATTCCTCAGCTATGATTTTCTATTAAAGAACTTATTTTTCATTCTCGTGTAACCGTTAAATGCAAATAATATTATTTTGTTTTGGTAACCAACAACAGTCGCAACATTTATTGACAAGTAAGTTACAGTCTACCGCAAAAAAAATGCTAATAAGGAAGACAACATCAGAAATGACAAAAAAACAACAGAACACAAACAAAAAACCAAAAAGAAAGAAAGGAAAAAGTTATTTAATTTTGACTTCATGTCGACAAACAACAATGGAATGAGTGAGAACTAGATGAATTTAAGAATAAGAAGAAGAATTACGCAATTTTTCGCCGCATAATAGACAGAAAATGTTGTCAAGACTAAGGAAAAAAAGAAAATGGCAAGTAAAAAGAAAAATTTTCATTTTTATCTTGATCGATGGCTTCAAAGCATGAAAATAGACACAAAAGTAACTTTAAATAGCCTCAAAAATTTATTCCTCAATTATCAGCTATTGGACATGACAATGAAATTGAGGAAATCGTCACGGAAAGATTCATCGTCATCCATTATTCAAGATTTACGATTCTCATCTCATGCGATTACAATTTTTTGGGGGATAAAAATCCTTATTTGATTATTAACTAGAAGAAAAGCCATGAGGATATCCATTTCCACATCCCACTACATTTCACTCAATATTCGGATATGTTGAACATGCAATCTGAATTGTACACAACTCATGTGTTGTAGCTGTGGATGTTTTGTGAATGAAAGATGAAAATGATGAAACGTAATGGTAATAAATATCAATCACATGCTTAGCTCAGAAGCTCAATCCATGCGGATTTTATCAATGGAATGCGTAATTTACTTGCTATGTCCATTTTTTGACACCAAAAAAATTATTTTGATTGAAAAAATAGAGCAAAAACGAGTCAGGAAGTGTTTAACAGCATTTTATCGCTAGCTGAAAATTTAAATTTAATTTCATCTATGTGAATTTTGTGGTGAAAAAAATTTGTTCGCTCTGCTTTGATGCCCAGCATGAAAAATGCGTTTAGAATGCTATAATTACAGCCTGCGTATAATGTGTACAAGAAAGAATTTCAAAACAATAATTACTGTGCACATTAAATGATGCGACATTGCATAACGATGGAATTTACACATTATGTTGTGTTGTTATGTTCTGATTTACAGGCAGATAAGGAACAAATTTAGAAAATTTTAAAATTATAATTGGAATTAGATATTTTAGAGAAATTATCATAAAAGTCACTAATTTTTGACATGGATGTGGTCACTAATTTTTAAGCAATTGCTTGGAGTATGATGAAAATTATTGTGAGCAGCAGCAGCAGCAGCAAAAAAGCAATGAATTGAATTATTAAAATCATTTTCATAACGTGATTAATATTATTATTATTATTACTATTGTTATTATGGCTATGACCCTTTTGCGTGCTCAGTGCTTAAAGCATTCACTTCATATTATTTAAATGTTATCGGCCAGCCTATCAAGAAGCCTATCTTTATGCTCATAATTCATTCAGTCTCTTTCGAAATTATTTTTTATGAATTTTTCCTCTCATTTTTCAGTTCCATTCTATATATCCACAAACCTCGATCTTGCCTTGTCTACGATTGCCAACAAATTAGAATTAGAAAAGAAAAATCATGTAAAATATAAATTTTATTAGCTGTAAATTTGTCGCTGTCGCTGACAATTGTCCATTGTTTGCTGATAATTATTATGCAACTTGCACTTGTTCATGAAAAAGTCGTCGCTTGCATGATATTCAACAATGATAACAGTAATTACAATCATGTGACGTCACGAATTACGATTGGAACTGCACATACACACACACACACACACACACACACACACACACACACACACACATGCATGCTTAACTTGTAATTTTACTAATGAATCATCCAATTTATAAGTCATGAGCCACACGACAGAGCAAAAAATTGACAATTGCAAGCATCTATTTTTAGATTCATTCATATACAATTGCGGGAAGTCCGGTGCTAAAATAAAATTTATTTTTATATTTTCACTGTCACATTTAAATTCATTATGTGTGTGACAGTTTAGTTGGAAGTCTGGAAGAACCTTGAATTAAGAAAATCAGGTGAATTTTTGAATATAGCTTATTAGACCTGGATTAAAGGTAGCTTATGACAATTAGTGAAGTAGATCATTCCACATGATGCTAATTACGAGTAGTACTTAATCTTTCACTTTTTGAGCTATCGAATGAGCTAATTAATTTAAGGATTGAGCTTTTATGAGGAACACCTTAGGGGCCGTTCACTTATTACGTTACGCAAAAAAAACTCTTTCACCCCCCCCCCCACCGAACGTTCATAATTTATTTTATTTTGATAAAAAGGGAGAAAATTTAAAAAATGTTTTTGGTGTGAATTTGTAAACAAATTTTTTTCGTGAACTTTTTTTAAAAGACAGACGACAGTTAGAACGTTACATACTTCTTGACACCCCCCTCCCCTACATTACATTTTGTTACAATTTTTCAACCCCCCCTCTCTTCTAAAATGCGAACGTAATAAGTGAACAGCCTCTTAACTAGTTTATTGACGATCAGCATTCTTGGGAAGTAGAAAGTGTGTGATTAAAGTTTTTTGAGCCTTAATACCCTTTAATCAACCTTTACAATCAGCTGAATCTTACTATTATCAACAAAAAATTTCATTATTCATTCATTCCCAAAAAGCTTAATATCTTCCATGAATCGTTTACAGTTTTCAGTTCCAACTCGAAACCAACATAAAAGCTTTGTCATTCATCGTAGTTGATTAACAATTTTTCGGAGTGGAACCTTTAAATTGTTTTCAACATCCTTGAAAAAATATTCCATGAAGAATTTATGACTCTTGAGAAGCATGCACAGCTGTTCTCCATTCTTTCTCGTTTCCATGTTTTTGTCTAACAGAAATATTGCTAAATTCGACATTACTCGCTTCCTAGTTCGTGGATTTGCATCACTTCCAATAATCTGGTCATTTCCAGCTTTCTTGCAGATTTCCGTCAATATTCGAGCAGACGTCGAGCGAACAATTGGATGCTTGTGATTAGATCCTTTTGCACAAACAGCACGAACTGAATGATGCACGGATATGCACGATGCCATCTTTTCAAGTGCTATATTTGCATCTTTTTGAATGAATCTGTTTGGATCAGAAGTCTTACACAACAGGATGTCAACCATTTCATCAAATTCCGGCCGCTTTGTGCTTTTTGCAAGCAGAAAAAATTCACCAGCCACTTGACATGCTGTTCGGCACAAATTCGAACGTGGCGACTTGAAAAAGTCAATTAATTTTCTGCTGATAATTGGAATGAATCTAGCTCCTAAATCACTATCCCAATGAATATTATTTGCAATCTGAAGGAAGTTCCGCAATCCATCAATGCACACTTCCCTATTAAAATTAATTCACAACAATTGTCCATCATAAAAAGTCTCAAATCACTCACCATTCAAAATCTTGCAATTGCTCAACAATCGTACAAAGTTTGACATAACAACTTCCGCCGACATTGCAGAAATCTGTCGAATCACTTGATGCTACATCCATTTTACTACTTTCCTTTGATGAGTTTGATGATTTTTTTGATGCCAAATTATTTTTAGCAACACTAATGGCACCCGATTCATCTTCATCATCACGAGACATTTCTTTTTTGCGCATCTGTTTCGTGGATGGACGTTGACATGCTTTCTTACATTTGAATGTCGGTGTTGATTGATTTCTAGTGGGGATTGGTAAAATAGTATTAGATTTTGGTAATGAGAGTTTCTTTTTGGTGATTATTGGGATGTGGAGGAGGGAAGAACTAGCGATAATTTAAAGTAGAAAACTTTGAACATATTCTGTTTGATTTAACTGATTTTAAATGTCCTGACATTTTAATATCGAGCCACACATCTAATTCTAGAGTAGTTCAAGCAATAGCTCAAGACTTTATTATCTAATTACTAGTCCACCAACATAGTTATCTGAAGACTATGTAGGTAAAGTAATATTCTCGAATCTTAGATCTAGGAATGAAGCTTACAGCCTTTTTGTCTGAGCAACAATCAAAAAAGTTAACAAAGTATGGGTATGGTATTGGTTTGAGTATGGGTATGGCTTGATAGATAAGCCTTTCTCCTACCTATTTTTTTTTTCATTTTAATTGTACTTTATTGCATTTATTGACGACATACTGTCCGGTAATAATTCACATTTTACACTTTTGTATTTGTATACATATGAATTAGTATTATGTAGGATCAAACTTCTAATCTTCATATCTAGGTTTCAAATAAACTAAGGCTCTCGTTTCGATCTTTTGTAGCCGTGACGTGATACTTTTCAGGTCCGTTCTAACAATAATCTTGTAGCTCTCGTTCCTATTTCTCCCGCTACTTCTCCCGCTTCAAGTTCCTGACCCGTTCCTTAATCCAACGTTGCCCAAATGCCCAATTATGGCTTGATCTTCTACATTAAGCAGTCGAAGTATCTAAACTTCCGAAAAAGAACAAATTTGGAAATGGCTGGATTCGAACCGACAACCTTCGAGTTACCTATCCATACCCAAACTTCCAACATCACCAAACCAAAGCTCCACAAATTCCTATTTTCATCCTTCGTCGTCCGTAGCATTTACAAAACAATTAAATGGCAATTAAACTTACTTTGGCTTTACAATGACACGTTGAACAGGATTTTGACACTGCACAGAATTAACTACCTCCAAATCGTCACTCTTTTCAATTTTGCTGACTTCATACAAATTGCATTTTATCTGCCTCAAATTATTGTCAATTCCATCACCGATATGATCATTAGTATTGTTATTCCTCATATTGTTATGTCGTGCATATTTCATACTGTGATTAGATGGCGTATCCATAGGGAATGATTGTGGACGTAAAAACGTTTGATCCTCAATTAAATCTCTTAATGCAGCATACGGATACGGTGTTTTAACTCTAGCCTCTATAGGCTTTACTGTTTGCGTGAAATTGTCTCGTTGCGCGGCAAAATTAGATTGCGGAAATGTAAATTCCTGCTTTAGATTTAAAATGTGCGGTGTATTGTTAGATACTGGCAAAATTGAAATATCATTAAGCTTCACAATACATAATTTGTCGTACAATAGCTTTTTGTAATCTCCAATAATCTCGTTTGTATCCGATAGACTCATGCAGCACTCATTTTCATCCGATAAATCAAAGTCGTATAAGTCAATGTTCCCATTTCGTGATGGTGGACCTTTAGCTTCGTCTTGATCCTCGTACAGCCAAATGCTTGATACTTCTTTTTCCCTCGTCTAGAAATTTTGTGATAAAGAGAAAGAAAAAAGTTTTTTAAATGTCGGTTTGGTAATCTTTAAATGTCGTTAATGGACTGAAACTTTTCATCTCCTCCTTACGTTAATTAATGTTCCTTTCTGCATGTTCTTATTACATTCAGATCAATAATGGATTTTAAATAAAGGATCTTAATTTAAAGATCTGTTTTTTTTGTATTTTTGGTTCGGCTTTGAATTTTGCAACTTGATATGATTGTTGTGATAATTTGATGAGGAAAAGAATATCTTTGAATTGTTTCTTGAGATTGAATATTTCAAACTCGGAAGATGGATCTGAACTGCATTTACTATTTGGCTAAGCCAGTTCTAAATAGCATAATAAAGCTGAGTGTATCTGAATGGTGTAAAACCTAATCTAGGTATGAAAACAAAGTAGTTTATATTCCAGGAACTAGCTTTCCGAGAGCATATGACGGATAAATCCTAATCTACTTAAGCAATCGATTTAGTAGTCAAACTACAAAGCTCTTCAATGGTCAAAGTCACACTCGATTACACTCGAATTTTTTAAACGAATGTATGAATCTTGGTTCAGAAACTGCCGGAAAGTTGCAAGCGAACTTCAACAGTCGTCTTGCATCTCAAAACACAGAATAAATCAAATGAAATACAAAAGAAAGTAAAATCCGTAAATGAAATCAAAAATTAAGAGACAAAAGGCAAATTGAATGCCTGAAACCTTAAAAACAAAAAGCAACAAAATGTATAGAAACTTTGTACATACTTAAATTTAAATGTAAATAAAGGTTCAGGAACTGCTCCCAACACTACCGACATAGAAACCATAAAGCTTATTATTGAAACAACTTTTCTAATGAACTTTAAAAAATGAAATTTCAAGAGCAAAGAAGCTATGTCAAGGATGAAATTTTTTTCCAAGAAATTCTTCGTAACAAGATCTCATCATTTCATCAATCCAATCAAGAGTTTTCTTTATCTTTTTGAAAAATTTCAAACAACTTCATTTCATAACTTATCAATTCTTGCACGAGTAATCTTATCCATAGCGACAACAATCTATAAATGCAAGAAGATTCAATCAGTTGAGACTAAATTTTCACGTGAAAACTAAAGGAAAAGTTGTTTTTCAAAAGCGTGACTTAGAAACAGAGTTGCGAAACAAACCACCTGTGACAGGTGAGAACCGTTCAATTCCTTGATAATTTGTATGGTTTTGTTAGAAAAACCTTATAAATTATCAAGGAATTGAAGGGTTCTCACCTGTCACAGGTGCCTGTTTCACAACTCTGCTTAGAAACGGATTGATTCTGTGGCTTGAAGATATCTGCTTTTAATTAAATAGAATCAAAAGCTTCTTCATGTGAAGGGTCGTTCGTTTATTTTGTCTTTAATATTTGGGTGTCTTTAATATGTTAAGCACAATATAAAAATTTTCATTTAAATCTTTTTACGGCATAAGGAAGGGGGGGGGGGGGGTCGCTAGAATTGTGAAAGATTCCTAAACGCCTTTTTACATTAGATGGAAGTTCTGGATTCTGACGAAAATGAGGTTTAAGCAAGACTTTATACAGCATGATTATCTAATTTTTATCATTTTCGTCCCGGAAGAGCAGGAGGGGGGGGGGGTGGTTAATTGAGAAAAGAAAAAAGTCAGAAGAAGTTACCTATCCCAACATATCTAAAGCTGAATACAATTTTCCAAATAAGAAAATGCGCTCTAATCCCATCCTTACTAACCAAAAATCCACAATCATTTCTTCCCCAATTTAACACAACTCGTACAAAAATAACGAGATATGACATGCAAGCTATTCCATATTTCACCTCTTTTTTCCGTTTCATATTTTCTCTCCACTTATGAGGCTTCCACATTCAATAATACTAATGACATCAGGATTTGTTTTGACCTAATTAAAAATCGATCACGAGAAACATTTTCGTTTTCCCTTCGATAAATTTTTTTTTGTATTTTTAATGTACCATGTATAGTCACTGTACGTTCAATAATGACAAAAAAAAAAAGACGAATTCGATTGCATGTACGACAATGCTATCATGTTAGCTTACAACCGACATTTACATCATTCATGTGCTTATCATTCACGGCTTTTGGCGCCACTTCCATTTACTATAAATTTATTTTTGTTATCAATTTTTATTTTCAGCCGTGTAGCATGTCGATGATGATAGGGAGCATAATGAAAGTTTTTCAGGAACAGCTCCAAGGCAAATGAACGGGAAAAATCTTCAAAAAAAAAATTATTGATAAAAAAAGGCATTCACAAATACATCCGCAAAAAAAATTTTATTATTTATTTTGACTGAAGCTGCTCCATTCCTCTCTTGTGTCCTTATTTTATTTTCATGGTTGTGTCGGGAAAAGCCGAAAACATTTTGGCGCAATTCGAGTCCGAAGCATGAAAATCACATTCCTTTCGTATATTTTAGGAGGAAGCAAGCGTGCCTCTGTGTTGTGTCTGGGATATAGTGAAAAAAAATTGGTATAAGAAGGGATATGCGAAAGCGCGCGCGAGTGCAGCACACAACACAAACAAAGACGATTCAAAATGTCCCAATTTTCCAAATCAACGACGCAATTTGGAGGGAAATGTCGAGTTTTCTCTATAGCATGTCTGCGTTGTGTGTAGTACTCGACAATATTTACTACGGATGATGTAAATGTGTACAACAATTCGGGATATGAGAGAAAGAAAAAGAAAATTTTAATCTTTTGTGAGGCTTCTGTCGATAGTGCGCATGAATGTTCCCGAAAAATAATAACAAAAACATAGGCACAAGCACAAGTTGGAGTGGAAAAATACTACAAAAATGCGTTGTGTATTTGTTATGATATTTTTCACATGAAATTGACTTGATTGTGTTGATGCTTGAGACAGTCGCTGTCTGGAAACATTCGACGAAAACATTCGACAAAATTCTCTCTGTTTTGGATGAGAGAAGTGACTGTGAAGATGGCTATGAGCTTTATTTGTAGTAGTTAACATTTATGGATGTGTTAGTAAGAGAAGTCTAGAGTCAGGTCAATGAAGCGTCTGTCAAGCATTCAATGAATGTCTTTGTGAGTTGTTCCTACATATGTAGTTGTGAAAATTGCTCAGAGTTTTACGTTTTGTTTTGATTTTTTTCCCTCTCGACGATGTCGAAGTAAAACTTGGAGAAAAAAAATTTTATTGCGTGTTTTCTTTTTCAAAAATGAATATTTCATCATTCTGATGGGATTTTTCAATTCTTTGCTACTTCTACTTCTAGAATGACTGAATTGCGACTCAACAAGAATTTTTCATAAATTTTTAATCCACACGAGTCAATTAATAGCGATGAAAACAAAAATATACATAACATATAGGCTGTGCAGTCTGTAGACAGTTCACATGCATGAATATGACGCAATAAGTTGAATGAATGAATGAATGAAATGCAAAAAGTCCAAACTCACTCTCAATCTTTGTCTTATCTGTGTCAGAGCTACTCACTGCCCTTAAACTCTCAAAAAATGCGTAAAATATTACAACTCATGTGTCTCCAATAAATCTTTCAATTTTCTTATCAATTTTTTTATTTTCAACAGCACTGCTAGAAAAAATGAAATTAATTAACTGTTAATGCCATGCTGTGTTCATTCATTGAAACAAATATTTTATGTCTTATCAATAAACTTGTGGTCTTTATTTGACTTTCAAAAACAATCGTAACCGTGACATGACATCAATATTGGATTCAATGAGCATGCTTAGTTCTATGAATGAAATCAGTTACTTGGAATTATTTTTCTATAATTATTGGGTATGTTTTGTGAGTAGGTTTAAAGGACATGAGCTTTCCTGTGTGTTCATAATTTAATAAAGCTCAAGCGATTTTTAAATGACAAAGAAGGTGTTCTTTACATTGAGAATTGCTCTCTTGAACATGACTAAGAATAAGGCATTCCCAAAAAGCTTGGAGGAAAGAGCTGGGAGCTGCGGGTGCCTACTGTTAAGCTGACCTAATCTTTACCAACTCATTATTCCACGGATGCCAAGAACTCTTGCTAAAGAGCAGCATAAAAAATTCTCAAGAATTCACCAACACCAATCAGCTCCAATTCCTCAACAAAACCTAATCGTCAATCTTAAATCATAGCAAAACATTCCATTTTTGTGTAGCCATTCTCGCTCATAAATATATAGCTTCTTACTATTTGTGGCTTTCTGCACAGCACACACGTGTGGAGTAGCAAAACAAACTGTTCATCAAATATTTTTCATTCTAATGTTGTCAAAAGTCTTTTATAAATGATAATTTATTTGATTTTAGTTTCTTGAGTACGCCGATCGAATTTCAATAGATTAAATGTTTTATGATTTTTTGTATGTGATTTATATTGAATTATAAATAAGGTTGAGAACAGGCATGATTTAAATAAATCTGTCGGACGTTTAAGGAAGAAAATACTGAAATTTTAAGAGTTATGAGTAAAAATCAGGGACTGATTTCTAAATTTACTCTACTCCAAGGATGCGGAACTGATAAATTACATTTTGATATTTTTTTTATCATTTTTGATCATTTCATCAGTACCACACCCTCGCCCTACCCTAGAATTTAAAGTCTTACAGTACTCCTGGGATCCTTTGGAACTGAACCTAGTTTTGTACTCTTAGCTTATAATTGTATCAACGTGTTTCAAAATGAATTTGATTTAAACAAATTTAAATGGTAATTGAAAAGGTTAAAACGTTTTATAACAGAAACGATCAAGGTTCAAATCCTTACAATATTCAATAACTTTGATGGTTATTTAAATTAAATATGAACATTTTTTTTCGATTGTCAGTTTTTCAAAGATGGCTCTTAAGGGGCCATTCACTTATTACGTAAAGCTTTTAGGGGGGGAGGGGGGTCTAAGATTTTGTTACGGTTTTAACAAGGAAATTTTTTTTCATACAAATTTTGTTACGAGGGGGGGGGGGTCTAAAAAGTCATTTTTTCGCGTTACGTAATAAGTGAACAGCCCCTAAGGGGTTTTAGACTATTTATTTTCAGGAAGGGTTCTCAAAAAACTTTCAATCTTTGACTGGTCTAAACCCCCTTCAAAACTTAGGATAATTACTTTATTTCACTAAAATGCTGTGCATCCAAAAATAATCTTCATCAATCAGAATCATCACTTAAATCCATCTCATCATAAAAATTATCCGGCAGTTCCATTACAATTTCCTCTTCCAATTCCAACAGAGTTTAATGAACCTTAGTTTGTCACCCAAGTCACGAAATATTGTCATCTGATAATTAAGCAATAATTCTTTATTTATTTTTTCATTCTCAATCGATATCCATCACTGTCACAAGACGTGATAGAAATAGACATGAGAAGATGGAAATGAGGGTAAAAATGCGCGACAAATGGATAAATGGATTGCTGGAACAAATGCATGTAAATCATCAAACATCAGCATCATCTCAATTTCATTGTCATTTGTTAAAGAATTTCCACTTACTTTTCAACACTATTTTTGTCTATGATTAGGGTTACCATCTAGTTTTCATGAAAATACAGGACATTTGGTAAATTTTTTCGAAAAAAACAGGACATAGAGTAAAATTCGAAAATTAACGGAAATTTTCATGAAAAAAATACAGGACCAGGAACAAAATTTAAAAATTTATACAGGACAGGGTTTTGAAATACAGGACTGTCCGTTGTAAAACTACGCAGATGGTCACCCTATCTATGAATGACAAATATCCGCAAAAGGATGTAAAGAAGTTCAACGCACTTACGGACAGATCTACAAAGTCGTAGACAAAAAGAATGAAAAGTCATCAATAAGAAAAGAAATTTTGGCCTAAATCGTATGAAGACCCTCGTGTGACTTTATATAGGAAATGAAAATAATTTTTTTCATATGTGTATCTTATGAACTTAGTGTAGAATAGCTACAAGAACATGATTTTATTGCGCAATACTTAAAAATAATTATTATGGGTTTCTGAAAAATAACTGTAACGGCTGTACGTCATGTAAAATGTTATTTTTTTGTTGTTGATTCTTTTTGTGAACAAAAAATGTCTGAAAGCATGGTCTTCGTGAGTTTGGCTGGTTTCTGATTCTGTTGAAAAATAAAATATTCTGAAAAACGTTTTTAGGACTGAAAATTAATGCACTTTACTACATATATTATAACCTTCACAAAAATTCTAAGATTTACATCTTAGACTCTGTTGTCTTTGAAGCTAGTTGGTTGAGCTAGACAACTTAGTTTCTAGTTTATATTGAATTTTAAACCAAAATTTACCAAAATTAAAATGATTTGTGATGAAAAAATGTTTAAAAATAATGAGAAATAAGAGGTTAAAATCCTTAATCTTGAAAAGAGGTTTTTGCCAAAAAATGATTTTTTTTAAATATATTTAAACTTCAAAAAAATTTTCAAAAAATTTAAAAGTGAGTTAAAAATCACAACTTAATATTCATAAAGCTATAAACATCACAGATTAGAAGTGAATAAACTGTTTTAAAATTGACATTTATACTTCACAAAATATTGCGACTTATTTAAATCACAACCCTTTCCTTACAAAAATCATTCATCCCTAATTTAATAAGATTTTTATAACCACTTTTTATTACGCGGATTTTTTTCACTTTAAACAAAAAAAAACAGGAACAATTTGATTTTAATGAATGGGAAATATATGTCAGAAAGGGTTGAAGATGAGATGAAAAAAATTAATCTCCAGCTTTTGTGACCAATTTTTATTGCACATTTCTTTGTTGTTGTATGAAATTTTTTAAATGGCAATTTTTATAGTCGGGTTGTTCGCAGTTTTAATTGAGTTACAAATATTATTGTCGTGGAATTTTCTACCTCAATTGATATAGTGTCAAAATGTTTGATGATATTTTGGGGATTTAAAGATGCTTGAGATAGATTTTTTGAGTTTTTTGTGATTTTCAAAAGCTTGTTGGAAGATTTAAAAATTGGAAAATGTTTTCAAAAATTTAAAAAAGTTCCAAACTTAATAAATCAAGAAAATTTAACAAAAATTTAAAATAATTAAAAAAATGCATTTAAAATGAGAAAATAATTTAAAGATAAAGAAAATCGTTTTAAAATTAAAATTTTTTTGCTGTTAATTTTGAACTAGAAAAGTCCAGAAAAAAATCTTACAATCGGATGCAAAAAAAAAAACAAATAAATTCCCCCAAAAATAATGTTGAAAATTTTTAAAAGAACTCAAGTTTCTTTAAAAACAAGAATTTCAGACACACAAAAGTCTTTCCTTTTAATTTAAAACTCCTTAGGCTTTCTCAAATCTCTTATTACAATTGTATTCATTTTTATTTTTCATTATTCTTTTTAAAAGATTATTACTTGACTATGATTCATTTGCGTTTAATATAAAAATAATCGAATTAAAATTTTTTTTTTTAAAATAAAAAATGAATTTCAATCCGATTATGCTTCAACTTGCTCATTATTCCTTTGTTATATGCTTGAGTGTTATGGAAATTTTTTTTCCTGTTCATCATCATTCTTCTTCGTCTTTGTCTCCCTTCCTTAAAGTCCTGCTTTTCCATTGAAATAATATTTTTTCAACGTCGTAGAGTTTTCATATCCCGACATAATTCGTTTATATTAGAAGGAATTAGCATGAAGATTAGCATACAACTGTTGTATGTTTATCTCCATTGCGAGTGTGTTGACTTTTTGGATAGATTTTGTGATTTTTATGTCTGAAATTTCAGATTTAAATCTGAGACAATTTAAAAAAATTTGGTAATTCGAAGAAAGTTAAAGAATAATTGAGAAAATTGTCCAAAAAAAATTTATTTTTTTTAAAAATTCTGAAAATTACACAAAAATCATCACAGCATAATTTCTCATTGGCATAATCCTGCAGGATCAACCGGAAAAACAACAAAATAAACGAAAAACAAAATAAATTCTAAATAGAAAAGAATAAAAAATGAGTAAGATGAGAATGTGACTTCGGTTCCACGGATAATTGCCCAAATTAATATTAATGTGAATGCATTAGATGAGCCAAAACAACAGTAACGAAGAAAATTTAAAATCATAAATTCAAATGATTTAGATTTTGCTATTGTTGAGAGCACACGAGCATTAATGCGACTCACGGAAGAAGGAAGAAAAATATTAATGAAAAAAGTCGTTTTTAATAGAGATTATTTATTAATTAATTTAAAATAAAAGTGGATTAATTAATTTTATGCATAGAATTTTTTTCTGTCTATTTATTCATGATGCATATGAAGTAAACAGGAAAGTTTGAAAGACTTGTAGAATTTACAGGTAGACGGTACGCACATTTGAGGCTAACTTGGTGTTAAATCAAAGAGAATCTTTGAAATTTTAATAATTATTGCAAAGGTTGCAGTAATATTCAATTTAGATTCTAAGCCAGAAATGGTTAAGATTTGGGGCTGAAAAGTTCAAATTTTGTGGCCCAATCAAACTTTAATAATTATTGCAAAGACTGCTAGAAATGGTTAAGATTTGGGGCTGAAAACTTCAAATTTTGTGCCCCAATGAATAATATTCAATTCAGATTCTAAGCTAGAAATGGTTAAGATTTGGGGCTGAAAAGTTCAAATTTTGTGGTCCAATGAAACTTTAATAATTATTGCAAAGGTTGCAGTAATATTCAATTTAGATTCTAAGCTAGAAATGGTTAAGATTTGGGGCTGAAAAGTTCAAATTTTGTGGTCCAATGAAATTTTAATAATTATTGCAAAGGTTGCAGTAATATTCAATTTAGATTCTAAGCTAGAAATGGTTAAGATTTGGGGCTGAAAAGTTCAAATTTTGTGGTCCAATGAAATTTTAATAATTATTGCAAAGGTTGCAGTAATATTCAATTTAGATTCTAAGCTAGAAATGGTTAAGGTTTGGGGCTGAAAAGTTCAAATTTTGTGGTCCAATGAAACTTTAATAATTATTGCAAAGGTTGCAGTAATATTCAATTTAGATTCTAAGCTAGAAATGGTTAAGATTTGTGGCTGAAAAGTTCAAATTTTGTGGTCCAATGAAATTTTAATAATTATTGCAAAGGTTGCAGTAATATTCAATTTAGATTCTAAGCCAGAAATGGTTAAGATTTGGGGCTGAAAACTTCAAATTTTGTGGTCCAATGAAACTTTAATAATTATTGCAAAGGTTGCAGTAATATTCAATTTAGATTTTAAGCTAGAAATGGTTAAGGTTTGTGGTCCAATGAAACTTTAATAATTATTGCAAAGGTTGCAGTAATATTCAATTTAGATTCTAAGCCAGAAATGGTTAAGATTTGGGGCTGAAAAATTCAAATTTTGTGGTCCAATGAAACTTTAATAATTATTGCAAAGGTTGCTGTAATATTCAATTTAGATTCTAAGCTAGAAATGGTTAAGATTTGGGGCTGAAAAGTTCAAATTTTGTGGTCCAATGAAACTTTAATAATTATTGCAAAGGTTGCAGTAATATTCAATTTAGATTCTAAGCTAGAAATGGTTAAGGTTTAAAACAGAAATGTTCAAATTTTGTGGCCTAATGAAACTTTAATAATTATTGCAAAGGTTGCTAGAAATGGTTAAGGTTTGGGGCTGAAAAGTTCAAATTTTGTGGCCCAATGAAACTTTAATAATTATTGCAAAGGTTGCTAGAAATGGTTAAGATTTGGGGCTGAAAAGTTCAAATTTTGTGGCCCAATCAAACTTTAATAATTATTGCAAAGGTTGCTAGAAATGGTTAAGGTTTGGGGCTGAAAACTTTAAATTTTGTGGTCCAATGAAAATTTAATAGTTGTTAAAAATAATTGCATTATTCAAATTGTAACATAAATTAGTTTAAAATTTTAGCATCAATAAACTAGTAACCCAGATAAAAATCCACAAACAGAACTGTTGAGTCACACTTAATCGACATCAAGACAAACAAATTCCTCTGATCAACAACTCCACAACATTTATTTCCCTCAGTTCTCGAACAAATAAAAAAATTGTAATCTAGAATTTATGAATAATTCCACTTCCGTGTTTGATTTTGCATGCGGAAAACTTTATTCTTATTTTTCCACAGCGTTCTACACGAGAAGTTAATAAATAATTTCTTTTTACAATTCAAATATGTAGCTTAGTTGAAGCTACAACCAATATTTGGGCGAAGAATAAGGCAAGAGGAATGAGAGAACGTAATTCTTTCATCATGCATTTGGTAGCGTCACTTCTCATGCCCTTCCTTTGCGGTTTTTAAAACGTGTCTGGTTCAATAAACTTTTCAGTTCTTTATTTTTTTTTCGCAAAAAAAAACAGAGAGAATAATATGAGGAAGAAGAGGAACGTAAAAAGAGTCAGCAATTATTGTGCTATAAAGCATAAGAATGTTCAACACCATAAATTTGATATTTTTTTTTTGTTGTAGTCGAGAGTTGAGAATGTAATGGAATGAAGGAAATTGCAATGCGCGGGAAAGAAAGAATTGTTATGAAAATAAAATTAAAAATTCTTTATGCTGTGGATTGAAAGTCTAAAGCGCATTTTTTGCTTCTGTCTTAATGACTTCAATATGGTGGATTTAAAGGTTTAATTTTTAAGTTATCCAAAAAGCAAGGAAACTAATCAATCGGCTGACTTACGAAACAAACAGACATCCAAACTGACAAAGATTGTCAAAATATTATTCTTCCAATCATCCAACGAATTGTTTGTTTGATACTAGATTTAGGGTCTAGTTAGATATCCAGTCAGCCATCAAACCAGCTTATTATCATGTCCATTCAGCTCCCAAATAATCCAGTGAGCCAACTTACTATACATCAATGTACATATTTAGGTAAGCTTTAGGTATCTTAGATTAAAACTCCTTTACAAGTATTAGACATGACTCAGGGGAAGACACAATCTCACCACAGAATTGCATTTAGGTTGTTACGGAATCACTCAAGTAGACAAAAATTAACTTAAGCCTGCGAGGATTCCAATAAGTTTATTAAACCTCTGACGAACCGATTAATCATGTAATCGACTACCTAGCTAGGATGGAGAGGTTGGGACATTACGAAAACCTGAAGTTAAGCACCTATTCATCTGACTATTTCCATACAACAAGTAAGACATTTAGTCATCTATACAGCCACTCAAATTGCATTATCAACCAACACTTCAACTCCAAAAATTGCATTTAAAATATTGTGATCCAATGTATATATTGAGGCTTCATACATGCATTTATGCACTTCTGTATTATGAGTTATTTGACTTTGTTGTATGTATTCTGCATTCTTATTTTATAGTGAGTAATATTAATGAGATTTTGTGCACTTTTCAGTGCACTTTTTGTCTTTTCTTCTTTTTATGCTTGCAACATTGTAAGTTTAATGAGTTTGATCAAATGAACTGGTTAGTCGGTTTATTGGATGACTGGAGAAATTGATGGGATTTTTTTTTGGCTCGTTGCAACTTTGTTGGAAATCGACATTCTTCGTGATTTTTATTTTTTGATGAGAGTCATCAGTGATAATTTGAGTATATTTATAAGATTGGCTTTTGAAGTTCAACTTGGCCCGGGAAGCACAAGTTGGTTAACCGATTAATAATCCGATGCTAAGCTAGAGTGATTTAGCTATTGAGTTGGAATTTTATTTAAATCCAGAGTCATGCAGGCTTGACTGAGGATTTCTGATGGATTAACCGACTTGTGGTATCCAGGAGGTATTTACGTATTTTTGTGTCCAATAAATAAAATTTAAAATTAAAACCTAGTATGACCCTAGTCAAATGCAGCCCCACTTAAACAAATTTTATCAACAAATACAAACAAAATAAAATATTAGCTAATCCAGTTATTACAGACAAAGCTATGCAGACAAAATTCCTTAAATTTTGACTTTTTTTGTTTTGCTCAGGATTTGTATGATTTCTATTTGCTAAATCATTCATAAATGTTGATGCGATTGAATCATACAAATTTTTCTCAAAATGTGTCATCTTTTCATTAAAATCAATGCTTAGTTCCTTCACACTTTTAATTATTGTCATTTTCAATTCTGATTTGGAGTTTTCAATATTTTTTAAAACATTTTCAGTTGAATTTGCGACTATAATAGTTGACTGGTCTTTATAAAGGTTTAACAAAGTTATAGCTTCACTTAAACTTCCTTCTATTCTTTTGCTAGCTAATAAAGTCTCATTAAGATTTTTATGACATATTTGATTCAAGTTTAATGTGTCGCTTTTTAAATTATCAATCTTTGATGACAATAAGCTTTTTATAGAGTACTGAAGATCTCTAAAGAAAGCACTTGATGACATCTGAAGTTTATGCAGATTATCTTCTATATTTTGGAATTTATTGTTTAAAGTCTCTTTTGATGACAAATCATGATCAAATGGTTCAGCAATAGTTGTTGTTTCAAAATAATCAAGAAAAAGATCAGAATTCCTATTGACTTTTCGCTGATATGAAGGATTAATAAGTAGCAAAAGAAGAAAGGCTTCAAAAATTCTAAAGAAAAAAAATTTAAAAATGAGAAGCAAAGATCAGATTTTTCTATAAGTTGAAGATTTCTTACCCGGAATAAAATTTCATAATTACTTGATGTTTTAAAAAAATAATAAATTGACCAGCTTAGTGAATTACTTTCATAAAACTAAAGCAGTCACATTAAAATGAATCGTTCTTTATATAATTTAATTTCATCAATTTTGCATAAAAAACTCTCCGATTCATTTTAATTTAGTCATCCTTTATCATTCAGTGATTAATATTTTCCATTTGACTCAAACTTTTAAATTCTTAATACATTCCACTGATCATTTTTTGCTTAAAATCACGCCTTTAAATCCAATCATAAATTTTCACATTCTCTTATTCTCGCAACAATGTTGCAATCTTTAATTACCGCCTCAGAGAATTTTTTGCCATGCAAAACAACAACAAGCTACAACAACATTTAAAGGCAGCAGTGAACTTGTGTGTCTTCCTAATTCTTAATATTAAGTAACAATCGAAAGGCACATTTAAATTTACTCATCCATTCAATATTTCCTCGTCGAGTCCTAAAGCAAATAATTAAATTGTAATTGGAGACAAGCAATGCCAATGGGCATTACAATAAACTTATGGCGCCGCTCTACATTTTATTATTTATTTGTTGTTGTTGCACTCGTATTATTATTATTTTTGCAACAAAAAAAATTAAATGTGATTTGTTGAAAAAATAATAGTTAAATGAAAATACAAACGAAAAGGTTTGATTGAAAAGAATTAAGGAAGTCATTATATTGAATGACAGACTTCGATGCATTCTTGAATTCTTTTTAAAATTTCTTTAAAAAATTAAATTAAGAAATTAAATTGAGATGCAAAAAATTTTGAATTTTACAGTGATGAAAATTACAAATTATTATTATTAGGATTTGAACCTATGGATTTTCTTATAAGGAAGCTCTAATGACCACCTTTAGTGTCTATTTGTCCATTCAAGCAGTTTTAACTTTTGTAATTGTTGTGCTGCATATTTCAGTTTATTTAAATCGATCATTTAACATTTATTAACCTTTCCAAAGAACTCATTGAAACAGGCTGTTGATAGAGACAGTGTTGCTTTTGGAATCGGCAATTGGCAAGCGATAGAGCTAGATTTGGGGGACTACTAAGTGAGGTCATGGATCACATTTGATCTGTACGACCAGCGAAGTAATTAAGTAAGAAGCAAAATTATGAAATATAAGCATCAAAATGATGATGAAATTAAAATTAAATTGAAAATTGGTCGAAATCTCTTCAAAAAACAAACTCAATTCCAAAATTTAATGAAACTTCAGAAAGATTATTTTAAAAAAAATCAAAATCAGTGTAAATTACATCATGAGGTAATTGTGTAGATAATTTAAGATTTTTTTAATTTTTGATAACATTTAATTCAAAAAATATTTAAATTATTTTTAAGATTTTAAATTTTTGTTCAGTTTTTTCAAATTTTTTGCTCAATTTTTTCAAATTTTTTACTCAACTTTTAAAACATTTTTGTTCAACTTTTTCAGATGTTTAACCATTTTTAAAAATTTCTATTTATTTTTTTGATAACTTTTTAACATAAAAATATTTTTCAAACAAAAACACACAAGAGCCACGCAATACCAAAAATAACAACACACAAAAAATTCCTCTAGCAAATTCCAAAGCGAAAAGTTATCGACTATTATCTAGTTATATATTCTCTCCAATAGCTTCGTAATCATGAATCAATAAGCAATCGCATTAAATCATGGTGAAAGGAATCAACGGCGTAAGAAAAAAGAAGCAAAAAGATGTCGAGATAAGCTTCCAATATTGACAAAATGAAATAAAAAGAAATTCATGGAATTTGTTATGAGAATGTCGCGATCTTCAATAAACAAACAAAAAAAGCGCGAAGGCTAAAGACATGAAAAATGGAAAAAAGAAAGAAAACTTTTTGTTTTTCCACGAAGACTATTTTTGAACTTGAAGAAGAAGTAAACAATAATAAAATGTTTGTGCGTACTCACTTTTGTTGTTTTGACGAAAGTTTGAGCTTTTCGTGATTTTTGCGGTGACAAAATTTATGTTTTAAGAAAACAAAGTTTTTTGTTATGAATATTTGGTTAAGTCAACGACTGATGAATGATTCAGTAAAATCGATTGGAATGAAAAGTTTGAAGTTTAAGTTTGACTTTGTTGAATAACTTTTATATTTTTATGGAATTGATGTAGCTTCTTATTTAGAGTTTGAAGTCGATTTGCAAGCATTTACGACCAGAGAGAATTTCAAGTAAAAGCTGATCGTACCTAAAATGTGATTATTTTGAATTGTGAGTAGGGAGGGTATTGAAAACTAGACGCCTCTAAGTGCTTCCAGTTCCGAATTATTTGAGCCAGCCAGCCAAAGTGGACCTATAAGTGCATTGTTTGCTAAGGAAAATATGACAAAAATCAAAAATATCAATTTTGAAACCTTGAAACCTTGAAATTTCTTAGAGATCTGGAACATGAAGTAGCAACTAAAACATTGTTCTCACATGTGTCAATCGAGGTGGCTATGTTTGATACTTTAAATCATCCCATATCACTAAAATACTATCAAATCTTTAAGAAAAATGACATCAATCGAGTCCTAGCTCAAAACCGTGAATGAATACACAAACTTATAAACACCAACAATTCACATTAAGTAAAACTCTAAATATAATCATCAACTTTGCATTTACGTGGCCTTTAAGAATTCATTGACCCTCTCAGAATATTCAATTCATACCCAAAGATTGTATCAACAGATTTATATGCAGCCTTGAATATCGACAAAAAAATAGCGATTTTTGTTTTGACTGCATTAGTCTAAAACTTCATTTATGACCAGACAGCGTTTGCTAAACAGAAGAAAAAAAGACTTTAATTGATAGGTTTTGGATATCGCAGACATTCTAAATGTCCTTATAATTAGTACATTCTGTCTGTAGCTTTGTTTTATTTTAATTTCATAGTAAAAATTCGGATGAAACTAGCACAATTTAATTAAATGGCAACTTTGCATAGACAAAGCATGAAATTCTAATTCTACTCACACCAGACCCCCCATAACTTTTTTTCTCAGAAAAATCAGAATCAAAACAAAAAATCCAAAAAGCAGAACGAATAAGAAAAAAAATCTTGTTTAATTTTAAAATAGTTTTTTAATCAACTTAGCAATTCTCAATTAATTATTTTTATCATTAAACTACTTGACAGACTCGTCACACAACAAGAACAATAAGAATCTCGAAACAGAGGAAAAAAATGTGACTCGACTCAATTGTTTGTCTTCATTTAAAAATAATTTTGTCTAATTGAATATAAATAGAAGCATAAGAGCGATGATGATGAATATTTCATTTATATGTCATGTGAGGAGTAGCAAAGTAATAATAAGAATAAAAATAATATAAAATATATATTTAAGTATTTAAATTGAAATCTCACAGTACATGCCAGAGTATGTGATTTATTTCAGTATTATTAAAATGAAAAATAAGTTTGAATGGGGTCACGTGTGTTTTTTGGAAACGCTTTTTCATTTCCAGCTACGTTAAGTGCCTTCACACCAATGTCTTAGTCTGGTAACTTTACACTAGTCACATATTTAGATGCCTAAAATTAAGATCAAACGTTCAGGCGTCTTCACACTAGAGTTTCTGATTCGGAAGCTTTTACACTAAGGTCACAAACTCAGGTGCCTTCACACCAGAGTAACAAGTTTAAGTGCCTTCACACTAAAGTCACAAATTCAAATGCCTTAAAACTAGAGTTTTTAGTTTAAATGCTTTCATATTAGAGGGTTCATATTAGGGGTTCAGGTGCATTCACACTAAGGTCGAAAATTCAGGTGCCTTCACACTAGTATAACAGGTTTAAGTGCATTTACACTAAATTTACAAACTTAGGTGCTTTCACACTAGAGTCACAGATTAAGGAAGTTCACACTAATGGCACACTATAATTCCAAGTTTAATTGGCTTCACACTAGAGTCTCTTTCAGCTGTCTTCACAAAAATCTTTCATATTCAGGTGCATTTAGAATAGACCAGACAAAATACAATCACTAGCTTCATTCCCTTCCAGAAAAAGTGCATAAAAGAAGTAAAAGAACGAGGAAAAAACGAGAATGATACTCTTTATATAAATGTGAAGGCCCATCCCGCATGGGTCATTGTTTTCATAACATTCTTTTATTTTTATACAACTTTTTGGCGCGTTTATGGCTCTTCTTGGAAATCTTACACGCGCATACACGAAAATCGTTCGTTTGCCTTTTGGAGAAAGAAAAACAAACAACAATAAAGAATATGGAAAGAAAAATGGAAAGAAGAATTTTTTAAAAAAAAAAATTGTTTTTGAAAAGTTTCAATTTTTTGCGCGCTTCGTCATTTTTTTTGTTATTCATATCCATAGTTATGTATGGATGGAACTAACACATGTATTTCTCATTTACAATCATTATACTACAAAGCAATAAGAAACACGCAATAAAGTGAATATAATTGTGATTTGGATGTGACAGCGCATTTTAATGGACTGCTTGAGATATGTGGAATGTGAGAAAGTTTTTTTGGGAATATTCGAGTAATCAACATAAGACAGAGGTTTTTGGGGGTTCATTAGGTTATTGGTATAGCTTAAGGTGGTTAGGAGTATAGCTTAGATTGGGGTTGGGAGTGTAGCCTTGTAAAAATTGTGCATCTGTTCATTGGATCATAGATTAACCTTAAAAATCGAGGAATAAATCAAAAATTATTCCTAAGTTTTATTCCACAAGCACAACAGAAGAATCCAGCCAAAACAAAAACTTTAAATCCACAACAAGCGACAGAAAAGAGTCAAGAATGAAAAATCTCAACATTTCACTGATTCCCTTTCAATACGATATTAATGTGTGGATGTTTTTAAAAGAATGATAAAACCAGAGTGAAATTGATGCTCAGCAAGCATGTCTAATTGATGGAAGAAGTGGAGAAGTGGAAAAAAGAGATGGAAAGAATTAAGAAGAATACATAAATAAAAATAAAGAAAAATTGGCGCAATCTTGAGCAATT